TTGATGCTTAAATACATAGCAATAGAATTTCTAAGTTTTCATATATAAAAATTATTTGATATTGATATTGTATAATTTAAAAAAGATCAATTGCTATAACCCTTAAGACATAATTGGTATCGAATATTATTGTAAACATGCTTAAAAAGTTTATTTTACATGAAATTCTATCAAAATTACTGACTGACCCTTTGTGCAGTTTATCCTTAATAAACATGCAACTCTGAAGCCTAAAAAGTTTATATTACTTGAAAATTCTATCAAATCTATTGACTACTCCTTATGCAGTTCTCAATTGAAGTTAGTGCAATACCTTAACAAAGTAAAATTTTATGTGACACTATTGAAATTAAGTTTATTTTATTGTGACTGACCCTTTATACAGTTCATCTATTGAATCCTCTCTTTAAGAAATAAATACATGTGATTTTCCAAGGCTAAAAGATTGTAACTTCTAAAAATATTTTTTAGATATTTTTTTTTATACTAAAACAAATAATTTTGAGGTTTAAAAAAGAAACACCTTCAAAATCAGAAAATACATATATATCCACGATTTTTCCTTAAACTTAAATTGTCACAAAATCAATTAATTATGTTTCAATCCAACAATTTGTGATAGAATTTCTACATTAATGGTTGTCTTTGCAGTTTATGTATAGAATATTGTATTAAATATAGAATACAACTAACTGAAGAACAACATAAAAAAATGACATACTGTTACCAATGTGTTTCAGATTACAATCTACATTTTTTAGTCAGAAATTCTCAAATCGAAGAAATTGATGATACTTGAGATGTGAATTCTTTATATGTCCAGCCTATACAATCCAATTTAAATAATCAAAACTCTCACCAAATTATTTACCATATGAATCTTCGACATGTCTAGCCTTTGCAATCCAATATTAATAATCAAAATGCACAACAAATTGTTCGCCAAAACAATTTACAAAGTGAATGCTTACAACAAATTGTTTCCCAAAATCAAGTACTTATTATGATGATTCAAAACATATCTAATATTACATCTTTTCTTACAAATTCTTAAAATACATGCCAACCTTCTGTTCCTTAGAACAATGATACTATTTTTATCAATTTTCAAAATACATGCCAGCCTATGGTTCCTCAGAACAATGACACTATTTTTACCAATTCTCAAAATACTTGTTAGCCTTTTGTTTCTTAGAATAATGATACTATTCTTACCAATACACCTCAATCTTTGGTTTCCCAAAATAATGTTACTACTATTTCTTCTCAAGAATCATCAAGCAAACATTAAATCAATATTTGTGATTCTTGCATAAAGAACAATTTTTCTAATCAAATTACTGAATCATCAAGCAAATATCAAATTAATATTTGTGATTCTTGCATGAAGACCAATTTTTCTAATCAAACTACGAGTATATCAGTTTCTCAGATTAACAATAATCAGATAATTTCTAATCAAGTTAATAATTAGGGGTCTGCAATTTAGACTCATACTATGCCTAACAAAAATTCAGGCATAGGCATGAACATGAAAGCTTTGGCATAGGCATGAATGCTAATATAAAAATATAGCATAGGCATGGGCACAGGCACAAAAATTTGGCATAGGCATAGGCACAAGTACAAAAACTTGGCATGGGCATGAGCATGAGCACAAAAATTTTTTATTTATTAATTAATTATATGTTTAGTACTATTT